CTGGAAGTCTTTTGTTTACGCACTCCGGAGTTTGCAAACGTACTCTGCGATCCTTGCAACTGCATGGGACCCGGTGGGATGTTGCAGAATCCTCCTCGGCTTCTCGTTCCCCTAGCTAGAAACTTAACTCGTGAAGCTGAATCCTCGTCCCCGCGCGCGCGCGTGGCCTGACCGCCCCTTGCCCTTGCAGGAGCTGATGACCGTCTTCCAACTCTTGCATTGGAACGGCAGCCTGAAAGCCATGCGGGAGAGGCAGTGCTCGAGGCAGGTGAGTCCGGGCGTCTCCGGCAGCGGTATTCCGGGTGCGTTAGCGTCGCAGCGACCCTCTCCTTAACCCCCTTCGCTGGCCAGGGAGCCAGGCGCTACCAAGCGACGTGTCGTCCCACGTAGCGCCTTGTCTTTCCTAAGCCTGTGTCCGTTCCCCCCCAGGAGGTCCTGGCTCACTACTCCCACCGCGCGCTGGACGATGACATAAGGAACCAGATGGCCATGGACTGGGTGAACAGGGAGCAGAATAGCCCGGGGGCCCTTTCCAGAGAGCTGGCTTCGACGGAGAGGGAGCTGGACGAAGCCCGCCTGGCTGGGAAGGAGCTGCGTTTCCACAAGGAGAAGAAAGACATCCTGATGCTGGCGGCCGGCCAGCTGGGGAGCATGCACTCCTCCAACTGCTAAAACGCCGCCGGGCGTGCGAGTCGTTCCGCTTCCCCCTCCCCCCAACTCCCCTTCCTCCCCAACTCCCGGGGTTCGCTAGATAACACCCTCCACCCTGACGGGGATCCCTCCCGCCTCACCTAAAGCATGTAACGCCTCTTCCAGAATCGTGGCCCATTTGCACATTTTAAACGTTTTTATCTTTTTTTTTTTTTTTTTTTTTAAAAAAAAAGACCTCTCCTACGTTGGTACTATATCATCGGCAGTATTCCGTGAAATGGAGCACTTCCTCCAGAAAGCTCCCGTTCTCTGGAGCTGATGCATGTCATGCAGAACTGCTTTTGGGTTTTTTTTTTTCCTTATTTCTTCTCCTTCTATAGTAGAGGGGACGTGTCTCTCGAAACTCCTTGGTAAGCACGCTGATTAAAAAGAACCCCCCCAACCAAACAAAACGACCAACACATCCTCTTTAGCGCTCTTCCCAAGGGAATCCTCCCGAGCACGGAAAAGGGATTTAAAACTGGGATTTTTGGTTTGTCCGGAGGTAAATCTGAGGCTCAGCCCGCAGCAGTCCAGCCCCGAGCTCGGGCAGGATTCCCTGCTACCCCTACAACTGCGCCTGGCCCCGCTCCGGCTTTTCCCCTCCGGGGTAGGGACGGGGTTTATCCTCCAAGTAAATAACGCACCTCACAACAAACTCCCGCCGTTCTTAAGGGATTGGACTTGGTTTAATTAGTCTGCGCCAGACGGAGCCTCTCGCTCCGCCGCTTTTCAATCCTCTTTGGTTTCCTGCAGCGTTCAGCCCTGCCCGGCCGGGAGGAGACGCTGAAGTCCCGTCCCGTGAACCGACGGGTTTATTTTTGCTGGAAACGGAGGTTTTTGGCTTCCCCAAGCCAAGCTGGGGAGAGGCAAATTTTTATTTTTTTTTCTTTTTTCTGAAAATCTCACAAGAAACGAGAGATGGACACGCTGTTCCCTCCGCAGCGGCTTCCAAACCCAACGGCAGAATTAAGGTTTAACAAAAAAAAAAAGAAACCTTGCCGGAGTTTCAGAACTGGCGAGCAATAAGAGGGGAAACTGCTCGGCTTCTCTCCCTGAAGAGCCTTGCGGGTACCAGCCTTTGTGAACTAAAACTGTGGTTTTATGCCTTTTTTTTTTTTTTTTTTTATTTTTATTATTGTTACAAGAATTGCGTTTAATCCTTGGCACCGGCGCACGGATCCAGCCCCGAGCCGCCAAAGCTCCGACGAGGGTTTGGCCGCAGGTTTGGCTCTGACCCTTCGCCGCGCCTAATTTACGCCGCCCGGCTCCCCAAGAAACAGTTATTGGGGACAATTCTTAGGATTTCTGGTCGGGCTGAGCAGTTCTGCAGGTCAGCAGATCGCGCCGAGCGTGGAGGGGGAGGACGGGAATGGCGCCAGAGCTAAGCTGGACAAAACCCCTTCGGGAGCTCGTTCCCTTCCCTGGAAACGAGCAACAAACCGTTCCCGAAACGCAAATCTCGATATGCACTATTTTTTTAAATGAATAGTTCCCTATTCTTTGTATACGTAACACTACTAAATCTATATGATGTTTAGAGTTAAGAGAAAAAAAAAATAATAATGCCCTTTCTGACTTTAAAGTGTTCCTGCAGCTCAAATTGAGTCAACTCTTCGGGGTAATTCCCGTGTCCCCCAATCCCAGGAGAGGCAGTGGCGGGAATATCGCTTGAAGACAGACTTCAATAATTCTTTTTTTCAGTGCAGCTTTGAGCTTTTTCTGTGGGTTTTTTATTTTTTTTTATTTTTTTTTTCCCCCCCTGGGGAGAGGTCCAAAGCCTCCGGGTCCGGGCTGTTCCCAGGGACGGCCGCCCCTGTCGCTGCGGGGGCAGATATTCCAGCAATACTCTTCCTTTTGAGACTTTTTTTTTAAAAAAAAAAAAAATCACAGTATCTGTAGATATTCTAGTTTTGTATTCTCATCCTAACAAGCCTATTTTGGGGTTTTTTTATATATATTTTTTATACGCAGCCTCTTTACACAACAGTATTAATGTTTAACGCGTTTGTAAACGTGATTGTAAATGGTGTGGAGTTTGTTTTGTGGATTTTTTGTTGTTGTTTTGTGGTGGGTTTTTTTTTTGTTTTTTGTTTTTGTTTTTTTTTTTACAGGCCGGCAATATCTAAGCCTTATATTGGGAATTTAATCCCTTGCTGTAGGAACAGCGCGGGGTCCGACGTCCCTTCTCCTCCTGAGAGGGTGATTTCCCCGAGGGCTGACTTCGTGAACGAGGGCACCCTGGAAAAAAAAAAAAAAAACCTTTTCCCCGTGCTCACACACGTTTCACATGTCGGGATTTTAACGTTTATTGGGGTTTTTTTTAAGCAAAACTCCCCGCAGCGCTGCCCTGTTGGTGCTGCCTGGCGGCTCCCCACCGCACCAGGGGAGGATTATGGCATTTTCATTCCTCCTGGAGGAAGGGAAGAGGAAAACGTGTGGTTTTGGGGCAATTTGGGTGCTGTTTTTCAGTCTCCGGGTCCGCTGGGAAGATGAAAAAAAAAAAACCCAAACAAATCCAGTTTGGGTTTGTTTGGTTTTTTTTTTCTCAGCATCCGAAATGGGATGTTCTCCTTGTCCAGGCTGGGGAGTTGAATGCAAAGCTGACAGGATAAATCGCCCTACGTCTTTGCCGTTTGTATGTATGATTTTTATACAATAAAACAATAGATTTTTGGGGCCGCTGTGGTGGTTTCTCTCTTCTTCTGCGGCAGGCCGTGCCCCCGACCTCTCCTCAGGACCGTCCCTGCGTGGGGGCTCGTACTGGCTGGTGCCACCCCGGGGGGGTGTGTGTGTGACAGTGCTCCCAGTTTGTCCCCATTTTCCCCCAATTTGTCCCATTTGGGGGTGGTGAGGAGAGGCCCTTCGCCCTTCCCGTCATGGCGGCGCGGGCGGGAGGAGATGCTTTGACCTCCCCAAGATGGCGGCGCGGGCGCTTCCGTTACGTCCCCAAGATGGCGGGCGGGGGGGCGGGCGGGGTGGCC